CGAAACTCCTTTCGCAAGTCGCGAACATTTTGGGTAATGGTTTACACTCTCCAATCTCAAATTTGGGCCATAACAATGACTTTACAGGCACTGGTTAGAAACTCTTATGATTTTGCAACCCTGACCCCTTGTGTTGCAGAGGTTCTTACTCCCTTGTTTCTTCTTCTTCTTTTTTGGGCTATGTTCAGAAAAAAACAAAAACAGAACAACGGAGTAAGAGCCTCTGCAGCACAAGAGATGTGGTTGCAAAATTATGTATTGCTAATCATGTGAACTGCAGGTTCTGACGGGAGGAGGGGAGGACTCATATGATGGTATGGTAGCATTCTATTTCATTGATCATGCTGTCGGTGCTGGCGGCTATTTCTCATTTAGTCAAGATACGTCTGCGTAGAGATGGCAGCAGTAATGCCACGTGACGTCTCCGCGGCCATGTTGCCCACCGTTTGCGAAGAGTTTCCGGGGTTGGACTTGGGCAGTCTTGGGGGTCTTGGTTGTATTGTAATCATATAGTCAATGGGGTCTCGGTTGTCTTCGTGTATGGTGTTATTTTAAGTGCGAATTTCATATACTTTAATAGAAAATAGTGTCGGCAAAATGTTGGCCTTGATTAATCGAATTTTGGACTGGTTTAAAAGTTTATTTTGGAAGGAGGAGATGGAATTGACACTTGTAGGTTTACAGTACTCTGGGAAGACAACCTTTGTAAATGTCATAGCGGTAAGAAAACAATGGTGCTAAGCACATACAAACATGTTATCACAGACTTTTGCCTTGTGTTTACGTGCATGTAAGGACTATGTTAAGTACCTATGACACTCTTATTAATTTCAGCAGAATCATATGGACTAGCGTGATTTGCAGGGTAACTCCATGTTATGCCAATTTAAATGCATTCTCATTTGTTTTACAGTCTGGCCAATTTAGTGAAGATATGATCCCAACAGTAGGATTCAACATGAGAAAAATAACAAAAGGAAATGTTACAATCAAAGTTTGGGACATAGGGGGCCAGCCTCGGTTTAGGTCAATGTGGGAACGCTACTGCCGAGGTGTTAACGCTATAGTGTAAGTTGAATTTTATTACTGGAGTGTTTTAATTAGTAGCTTATCTGTTTGTCATATTCGTAGGGATGTATGTATGTCATCCCTATCAGGACATTATATTGCTTACAGAGGAATTATTGATGTTTCTGGTTATTAAAACTATAGTTGTGCCCATTTATGATGCTTGACCTTTGTTTCATTCCTCCTAATTTGTTCTTATATACAGAGCAATTTTTTATTGTGTCAGTTTGAAAAATTGTGGGAAGTGACAAGTATTTTTATTACTACACAATCTACTCACTGCTGTGTGAAGGGCGGCTGACATGTAAGGCTGACAGCCTAATTGCCATCTGTGAGCTGTTTGTCTAGAAAATGTTGGAGTGTAGACATCTCACAAATCTGTGGGCCCTCATAACCTGTTACAAGGAGAACTTTACCTTCTTTTTTACCTTTATGGTTCCCAAAACGGCATGATATACTCTGGTTCATTGAGTAGATAACAGCAGTCATCCACTTGAGATTACAGAATTAGACAATACCAGCGCTTGCAGTTCGCAGGTATGTTTACTTTGTTGCATAAGATGTTCAGATGGCTGCGAATTAATGGTCACAATATGAGCAAAAGAGCAGAGAAATTTTTTGTTTAAGAGAATGCTGGAAAGAGGTATTGTAAAATGTATCATCCCAAGTGCCTGTGTTTCATGATGGCCCTGCTTCACTGTGAACACTGCAAAAAAGTTTCCAGATGTATAGAAAAGGTATTAGGCTGTTATCAGATTGATTAGTTCACGTGTATGGCCCTCATAGTATTCTAGCAGAATTTGGAAATGATTTTAAGTGTGGAAGAATTTATGATTGTCTGATGTGGTATAACACAGCAAGCTGAGTGAAAAGTATCAATGTACCTGCATGTACAAGGAGGAGCAGTAAACAGTTTGGGAGAGAAACAAGTTAGGAAGTGTATAGTTTGTCATTTCAGGCATTGTCACTCTACTGTTGTAGCCAGATGGCATAAGAACCCTTCAATGACACAGGACATTTAATTCCTACTCACTCCTTGGGATGAGGGCATTTAAACATTTAAAACGGTAAATGCAACATTTCATTTAAAGTGTAATAAATTGGGAAAAATGGGAGTTTTGTTTTTCTAATTTTCACACTACGTTCAGAAATGTATATAGAATCAGTGTATTGTTCCACAATGGTTTAAAATTAGTTTCTGGTACAGTAAGCCTATAAAAATTAGGAATAATAGTATCATATCTTAGAAACTCAGCTGGGTTTGTTTGTTGTGAAAACATTCCACACAGAGTCCCATGTCACACACATCACACCAGTACACAGTTTTTGACACACAACTGGCTGTTTCTGTGGTCGTGATTTCATTGCAGTTGGTGGAATCTTGCTTATAAAATTTCTCTCTCTCAGATGGGCACTGTTTGTCTGATGAATGTGGACCTGTCACTTGTGTTATACAGCATTAGCATATTTCACAGAGAGTCTCTCAATTAACTGAATTTTGATTGACAATAGATCTATTCTTTTCCTTTTGTTATTCCTACATATTATCATCACATTCAGAAATTTTCTTTCTGCCCCATGTAGTTTTGCATATTTTCCCAATGGACGTTCATGCTTTTCTTGATTGTCATATACCACAGAATCGAGAAAAGCACAAACATCCATTTTCAGTGTCAAATTGCAAATCTTATTCAGCTTTGTTCTGATTCGGTTTGAAGAAATATATCCTCCTCTGGTCATGACAAAACACAGCTAGCCCCTTTGCTGCTTGCGGCTGGCCTTGGCTACTAAAACCAGACTGCATGATGCTATTTATAGAACAAAGGGGAATTACAGTAGTACCATTCATATAGTGAACTGTTTATCGTTTGCTGCACAGAAGTCATAACACTTCTTAGAGTCAACATCACGTCTCAAAGTCACAGATTCTTCATGTGTTTTCTCGTGGTTACAAATTCCAATCTAGAAGCAGCACTGGCCACAGTATGCCTCAGGAGAATTTACTTTTCATTCAATCAGCATGGAGGACAGCACACAGTATCGATATAACATATTTAGTTCATAAGAATTCCCCTAGGGGCGATGATAGATTTGTATGGTATTAAGCACACCAAGTGTTGAAGTAGAAAACTTTTTCAATGAATTCAAATGTAATACAACTCCCACAGGAAGTTCAAAGTGGGACAATGAATATATGAAATGATAGCCTGAAATTTCCTCTTTAATTTCATACCAAAAGAATTTCTTTACATGAAAAACAACAGCTCAAAATACAAGCTGAAAGTTAGCTCTGCACTATGCATATCAAGGATGGACTTCGGCAACATGTGACAGAAGCCGCTGGCGTGCCATGCATGGGCTACAGCACTGAAGGGTTAAGCCTGTCAAAAGCTGTTAGGCTCGATGGAAGAGGACATTTGTCATAAAATGTGTCCTGACATTCCTTAGCAAGTTCTGTGTATAACATTCATTTTTCACTCCAATAAGTATTTAGTGAAAGGAGTTGAGATAGCACAGTTGATATAGCCACTGGCTAGGGGCTGGATGAACAAGGGGCAGAGTTCGAGTCCTGGTAAGGTCAAGAATTTTCTCTTCTCAGTGACATCCAGACTAGCTCTGGGGTTCACCTCCTATCCAACGCGTACTGGGGGCTCTTTTCCCGGGGGTAAAGCGGCCGTGGCGTGAATCTGACCACTCACCTCCAGCTAGTGCTGAGGTCAAGAAAATTTGGATCTATAGCACCATCACCTTCATGGCGTAATGCTTAATTAGTTAAGCATAGGGTTGACTTTACATTTAAATATGCAGTGCATGCAGAAATACTGGTCAGTCTTCATTAGAAGTCTTTATTAGTGTCATTCAGTTTAACTGAAATTGGAATGTGTTGACAAATTTTAATAAAATTCATCGGTATCATGTTTTATGAGAATTTGTTCATTGTTTCTTGAGTTGTTAGATGCATACATGGATGGAGAGATATGAAATAAATGTAGTAAAATTAGTAGAAGCATTTCTGAAACTTTACAGTACAAGGTGTGGCAATAAAGAACCCGGATTACTTTTATGACTCATTTCCGGCCACGTCATTGACGAAGAGGAGGGTAGGGCATTGACCCTTGGACTTCCCTCTACCGTCACACAAAGTTTCATTCACGTGCATCGGTTAGTCTGGCCGCGACCATTGTTAGAAGCGGATCGTGTTTCTGAGCTCCGTCGGAATAATGCTGAGTGCTAATGCAGAACAACGTGCTAACATCAAATTCCTCACAAAACTTGGAAAATCTGCCACTGAAACTTACAATTTGTTGACAGAAGTATATGGTGATCAGTGTCTATCTCGCACGCAAGTTTTCGAGTGGTTTAAGAAGTTTATGGAGGGTAGGAAAAACGTCGGGAACGATCCAAAATC